ACATAGATATTGTATGAATAATACTTTGTTTTACGTACACGCATGTCGTTTAATTTTTGAGATGTGATGTCTTTTTGGGTGTAATACGCATTGAGGTTTTTTTAAGAAAATGGAAACTCGCAGTATGAATGGTATTTATTATTAGTAGTAGTATTAGTAGTAGTATTAGTAGTAGTATTAGTAGTAGTATTAGTAGTAGTATTAGTAGTAGTATTAGTAGTAGTATTAGTAGTATAAGTTGTAATATTAGTAGTATTAGTAGTATTAGTAGTATTAGTAGTAATAGTAGTAATAATAGTATTAGTAGTATTACTAGTAATATTAGTAGTATAAGTAGTATACGTATTATTACGGCATGATGAAAAACCTGGTGCAATGGTATAGATTTAACCCCTTATCAATATTACAAGGCAGTGTACAAGGAGGGAGATGGAGAGGCAGACAAGAAAAGATTGGAAGATCCCATGTTGACCAGAAAAAGATGGGAAAACATCCCGGAAAGGACTGGTTGAAAGTTTGGGGAAGCCCTTCGAAAGGCTGAAAATAGAATAAAATGGAGACACGTGGTTGCCCGATTATCCTAAGTGCCCCAACGGCCATCTAAGACGAATTAATATGTAAGTTAAGAGTTCCAACGGTCATCTAAGACGAAGTAATAAATAAGTTAAGAGTTTTGTTGCACTTGGAACATTCATCGGTCGTATCCTCCCGTCTCCTCCAGTTTCGTTTCCTTCACATCCCCCCTCCCTCCGTGGCTTCTCCTACTCTGTCTTCCTTCATCACTCACTCCACCAGCACCTCAAAGAACTGACGTTCAGGAACACACCGTTATGATCCCTACCATATTCTGGCATTATACCGACTGAGCTAAAGATGCTCAAAAGAAAGCCCCAAGGGGAGAAAGATGCGAAATGGGTGGGTGGGTGGAAAGGAAAACAAGCAGGAGTTTTCAAACATAGGTTAACTAGGCACTTCAGTGAAGTTTTCAAACTTCTCCAAGGGCGCTGAAATTTGGAGTATAGGATATAGAGCGTGGCTTTCTGTTTCAGAGCGTTTTAAATGTTTTTGCTATCTTTCTTAGTTCAGAAGCAGGGGCAATTTTTGTGAATCAGTTTTCGTCCTGATTTGGTCAAATTTTTGTATTTCATTTTGTGCCACCAAATTTCCAAATCTTGCTTCAAAACGTCATAAAAGCTTAATACTTGTATCGTAACCTCTGAGGTATCATACTGTTCGTTGTTTTATGTAGAATAAAACAAATGAGCAATAAACATTCATAGTAAAATTCTAATTAGCGTTTACTTACGTCATAAGCGTGACGTAGGGAACCCGATGCGTATTATCCAAAATAGAAAGGGGCTGTTCAAATAAAATCCTACACAATTTATAACCATTGATTATTTGAAATGTACTTGCCATATTTTTTTACTACCCTTGTTGATAAACCATTCTTTGTTCTTCCACAAAACGTTTCAATGGTTATCTTAGAAGTCTTACCTTGGCTCGCTCTGTTCATTGTTGGAAATTTACAAGACAGGGAAATGCAGTGTACATCGCTCAGACATTTTGGAACTTCAGTTTGAAAGGTAAATACATTTTGGTATGTTTTATAACCACTGACTTTAAATTGTACCCAATTTCATTCGAAATTCTAAAGAAAACGTGACTATTTAGAGCCAAGCATTTCCTTTTCACCGAGCCCCTCTCCCCCCCCCCCCCCATCTTCCACTTTTTCCTGCCCACAGCCATTGGAGCTGTTCAAATATAATCTTGTATAGTAGAAGGTTTTACGGCTATAATCTTATACCCTTTTGGGGGCTTTTGCCCCCTCACCCCCTGCCCCCTTCCTTTTTTAACACTTTTTTCATTTGCCTTTCCACGCTGCTCCCTCCCCCCACCCCCCTTCCACCCCGAACCCCCATCCCACATTATTACATTGTTTGCTTATAATAATAATACATGTCATATGATTTATATCGTGCAAATCCGCGTTACAATCATTGTTCTATGTACTTTACATAATATTTATATATGCTGTTCTACATTCACTAAAAACATTACAGTGTAAATCATTCAAGCAAAATATTGTATACACTCTTACTAATAAGGGACAAAATGAGACTCATGTCAATGTCAAAAGCACCTTA